CGAGCTTATTTCTCCATGTCTTTTCGACAAGTCTTTGCATTGATTCATTATTCACTTGTAATTGCTATACCTTTGGGATTTTTAAATCTTATGCTTGCTTGTGCTTGGAATTATATGGATTTATTTATTATCATACTGTCATGTGCATTGTCTGATAAATTTAAGCAGCTCAATCAAAAACTGGCCACTGTCAAAGGAAAGGTTCGTCATTATTTATTATTTAAATCTATAATATAAAGGTTTATATAATACCAATATAAACATGCTAGTAGACTCCGCCAGAATATTCTTGGGGGAGGGGGGGTACATACTGCATATAATATAGTATAAGCTGATTTCTAAATAATCTTAAATAACTCGAGACGCTTATGTATCAATGATACATAAATCACAAAAGCTACCGAAGTCTATATTCACATACTGGGTTCGGTTGGTTCTCCCATTGGTTTTTGTTTTGGTTAAATGCAGCCAAAATAAAAAAAAATCTTTATGGGCTACACAATGTTGTCGGGTCCTCATTAGAAGGACGTAATGGTACCTCTTGTAATTTATTCATTAAAATGATTTTGCGTTGGACAAACTTACGAAAACCGTATTCCCTGTATAGTAGTCTTACCAAATTGTCGCAATACCTAAATAGACAATAATTTTATCAATTCCTAAATTGTATCTAAAAAATAAAAAACACTAAGTGTATACAACACGGATACAATTATTTTCAACGTATAGTGTGAACATTTGATAAATATACTCTGTAAACACTGAAGTTTTAAGTTTTTTCTATGCAAAGCATTGTTCATTTTACAGTAATTTTTCGTAATTTGTATTCCCTGGTGGTGCTCAGGTGTAAAATAGTTGATGACGGCTACCCCTCTATACTGCATAATACCATATCGATATGACCGTCAACTGAGGTACACTAAAACCAAAATACACTGAGTCTCCCGTATTCAAATGTTCATTTTTTCCGCTGGACAAAGTCCGATAATTTCGCTAGTATTTTATAAAATTAGTCTTATTAACATAATATTTACAGGTAGTTTTAGTTGTTAATTTAAATTGAAGATCAAATGAATGCAATATTTTATGACTAATTCTGTGTATTCACAACATAGATCAAATTTAACATGAATATAATATAATGGCGCATTGAAAGTATTAGGTATGCGTAAGACGACCACACAAAAAAGTCTGGGCCTACCATAGTATTATACTATAAGAGTTTATTAAATGTATTAAGACTAATTCAATATGCATTATTATCATTAAATATTGTTCATTTAGTTTTTTTTCTAAGATCCTTCATTTTTTGTTATTTTTAAATCCTTAACAAAAGCGTAACGACTAATACAATTTAAACAACCACATATTATAATTTATACATAATATTTTATTCTAAATGATACACATCATGTATATATGTATATATGTATATATGTATATATGTATATATCACTAGACCTGTTTTAGTTCATAATATAATATATTCGATTTTTTAAATTATTATTCATGAATCATGACACTCATGTACTTGCATAAATTGTGTATAATGACATTATACATTAATGATTGAAATTTAGGTGCTTCCAAGTACGTATTGGCGGAAATCCAGAGAAACATATAACCTATTAGCGTCGTTAACTCAAGACTTTGATGAGTTTTTGTCACCGGTGATATTATTATCATTTGCTAACAATTTGTACTTTATTTGCTTACAGCTTCTAAATAGTTTGAAGTATGCAAATAACTAATATTTATGTAAATTTTATTAAGGCTAAACGTGTTTTCAGACCAATGCACAACGTTTGGGAGGCTATTTACTTCGTGTTTTCATTTACATATTTGGTTGGAAGAACATGTGCTGTATCTTTATACGCTGCTTCCATAAACGATCAAAGCAAAAAACCGAAAGCCATCCTATTTTCTGTGCCGACTGAAAGTTATGGAGTAGAGGTGAATTTAAGTTTAGCTTACAAGTATTATAAGTATAATTAAACCTTAAATAATTAATAATATTTGATATGAAGTGTGTCAATTGTTAAGCAACAATTAATAATAATAACCAATAAATATTGTTGAGTATATTTAAGTAAATATTAAGAAATGGGCCAATGGGCGTATTAGGATTTAGTATGTAAGTTTGTATTTTCTAGATAAAAAATGGTTTGGCATATTATGCTTAAAACTAAATAGGATGCCATATTGATTTTGGTGTACAAAAAAAGTGATTTTATATAACCGCGGCTTTTGTCTATAAAAAAGGGAAAGTGATTATTCTGGGTTTTGTCGTTACGAGACTTTCGTCATTCTAAGGATTTCGATTTAAGAGTACAAATGTACATAAAAATATGGCTTTCGATAGGATTAGGATCTAGGATGGTAAGTGAAAATAATATAATGGTATGGTATAGATTATAGAATATACAGTATATAACAAAGACTATCAAATCTCAGTCAGCCTAAAACATTTTAGTTGTGGTCCAAAGGTATACCTATACGTGGATTGCGTCCCACTATTTTGGCCATGTATAAAATATGTATTTTAGTAGTTGGTACAATTTTTTTTTCGTTTTTAGGGTTCTTAGCACCTGCTGGTGTATTTATAGGAAGCCCTGAAATCTTTTATTTTGTGACTCACGATACATTTACATATATTATGGTATATTTATAGTATATTATAAACTGCAATAAACATGGATGGGTTTTTGTTTTCCGAATAATTCGTATCCAACTCGAAGTAAAAATTACCAAAATTGCCAACGAAATTGGATTTAACAATTTAATAAAAATAGAATAATAAGGTTAGAATTTGTGAAAAGCTTGGGTATCAAAGAAGTGTAAACCAAATTTTTCAATGTCATATTTGATTGATTTTTTATTATATTTGTTGTAATAATAATAGTTGTAATAATAATAATAATAATAATAATAATAATAATAATAATAATAATAATAATAATAATAATAATAATAATAATAATAATAGATTATTTATTGTTATAAAACAAAAAATAACAACCCCCTATGGGTGTTTAGGAGTGCAGTAGATAAGGGAAAATAAAAAATGATCGTTAAATTAAAACTATAAGAGAATGAAGAAGGATAGGTAAATTATATTATTATTGACTATATTGATTTTTGATTGGTTTCAACGTACATTTTATTTTTTTTTATATCATAATATCATATTTTATTTTACATTCAACAAACAAACAAAATATTGATATTTATTTAATTATTAGTTGTTTAAGAACACCTGATTAAAATTCACGAATTGTGTCCCAGATATTTAGAGACGCAGTTCGTGTACATCTTTTTTACGGAATTTTGCTCATGTGTTCCAGTCAGCTATATTTACATTGAATACATTTAGCCAGGTATATTAAGTGAGATAAAGTAAAAAATGAATGAAAAAAAAATAAAATTTACAGATTAATAGGGATTATAATATAATAGGTATACTTACTTATAGACATTAAAACATTAATATCAAAAGATGTGATGAATCTCTATCGGATAGACGCATTGAAAGTGAGAGGGAAGAAATTAAAATATAGTATACCTATAGTATTTTCTAACAAAAAATGATAAGGTTCTTTTTTTAATAATAGGTAGCAAGATTCTTAACTCAAGTGACATCTGATGAATTAGCATTGACTGGATGCAATTTTTTTTCTGTCACTAGAACATTAATGCTGACGGTCAGTTTGATTATGCGTTTTATTTTATTTAACATTCATTAAAATTATAATTAGGTGCATACACTTTAATGATTTTTTTGTTATAATCATTAAGGTTGCTGGAACAATTGTCACGTACGAGATCGTATTAATACAATTCAACAGTGTAAATAGTGATGGAAATGGTCAAAATAATACTACTACTTATTGTCCATAATTATTGTAATTTATATAAAGTACTTTTAAATATTCATGAAAAAAGTATAGGTACTATTACAAGTAGTATTGTTAAGGTATCTTGGTTAATTTTTAATAAATTATTTATTATTCAGTATGATCCTAAAATAAGGTTCATTACCTACCATTACATTTTTTATATTATATATTACATTATAATTAATTAATTAATTAAAATATTATTCAAAAACAAACATTTAGAAAATATCTGTATTCTGTACCTTACATTAGATAGGTACTGATATTAGATTATTTTTCAAAAAAATTTTTTGTATAATTTTATACAGTTAAGTATTTTAAGATTTAGAAATAATGTATACCTAAATTAATTTTATATACATAAACCTAATTTATCATTTAATTATCATTGTGTGATAATTCTGTTTGACTCAAAATACAAAACTTAAAATGGTATAACATTTATTTATGATAACAATTTAGATTATGTTTGTTGAAAACAACCATGGAAGTGTATTGGTGTGAATTGATGTTTTAATTTAGAAGCTATAACAGTAGTATATATTTATATTATACGTTATAACCTATAAATAAGTAGTTTCTGCGAATATGAATTAACAAAAACAGAAATTTTAGATCTGTAGGTACCTATTAAGACTTGAAATATTCAATACAATTTAATTCATTTTTTAAGATGAATGCCTTATTTCTCATTGATGAACGAAACATTATTGATCAGTCATTGAGTTGTGATGGATGTACGAAAAGAACTGTTGAAATATGGTTTAAATAAACTAAAATATAGTAATGAAGTCCTTGAATAATAAAACTTAGTACCTACCTACTTATCTTTCTAGTTCTACCGAATATTGAAAACTATTTTAAAATAAATGTTATCGTTGAACGGAATTACTAAATTATAGTCTTGTTGAAAAGTAATGGTTTTTAGATGTATTATGTATAAACGTAATGAAATATTCAAATTTATAATTTTACTTTCGATTTCATACATATTTTATATTTTTACATCAATCACTAATATTATTTAAATAACGATGAGAAATATTATTTGCCTCAGTAAAACTAAAATTAAGTATTCTTTGACGATTACATATTATATTATTATGTCTGGTAGTTATATTATATTTGCATGTTAAATGTACGAAACAAAATTCAAATGAAAATATTAAAACTATTCGGGCATTGGCGAATCAGTAATAGTAATTTTCATACACCAAAAACACATTTTGTAGGTACTAAATGTATACTTTTCGAGAGGCGTTTATTATTTGGTAGATAAAACTTAAAATCAATTATTTATAGTGTGTATAAAATTCCATTTCATAACGTCAAAAATTACTATAATCAAGTATTCCAATAACGCGTGTTCCGTGTGTCAGAGACCCCGATAACATCGGTGAGCACTTTATTTTTGCAATTGAATATTTAACAATTTGGCAGTGAATTCAAACTCGGGAAAGTCATTTAGTGTGATGAGTTTACTTGTGTCGTAGTGACAATACTAGTTTTCTCGTTTCTTTACTATGTCTGACGAAAATACTTTCAGGCCCGTTTATCTCAAGGACAGGAATTTCACAGGATCTGGTTATGAAGGGCAGTTGAAACAAAGTTCATTAACTGAATCAGCGGTCCGTTCGAATTATAAAGCATTGAAATTAAAAGAAAACAAGGGCAATATTGGTAATATTGATTTTTTTAACTTATTATTATTGGACTATTTATTATTTTAATAAGATAAAATAATGCCATATGTGAAAAACTCAAATTAGGTTTTTTTCGTACAAAATAATAATTATTATTAACAGTACCTAATTAGATTTTTTTTATAGCACTCGAAATACAAGATGATCTTGGTATGCCCGTAAACTACGTGAGAATCAAGGCCTTGGAAGACAGTATAAGGAAAGACATAATTAGCGATAAAAATTCGTTGCACAGAGCCATCACTCCTGTACTTATTTTGAGTCAAATGTTCGCTATTTTCCCAGTTCAAGGCATCAGAGGACAAAACACTAGTTATTTGTTGTGAGTCATACGCTAGGTTCAATTAATAATTAGTCTTCTTTTACTATTAATTTGACCTCTTTAATATTCATAATTTATAAAATGTTTTTGTTGTACTAAACATTTTAATAAATAAAAGCAACTGGAAAAGTCTTAATACTTTTCAATAATTGCTATATTATAATTCTGAGTGTATGCTAAGAGTTAACACTAAAATAATAAGTATTTCTGTTGTACGATCTTAGATTTAAATGTGATTTTCGGGGGTTTTAGTGAGTGGCAAAACAGAGTTTCAAAATAGACATTTTGAGAATATTAGAACCTTTTCGGTATGCATATGGACTATTTATAAAAATAACTTTTGAATACAAAGTTTGTTTCCAATTATCTAATTCACAACGTTATAATAAGTTGAAATTTACGAATTACTAAAAAAAGTAAGGTGTACTGTGAAATTGTGCACGCAAATACTAAACAGTTACATAATTTGGAAATTTCTCAAATGTGTATTGTATTGGTACACCCTTTCATCTCCATTTGAATCCAAGCTCATCCAGCAGAAATGTTAATTATAGTACCTACCTTGTACTATGAACAATGAACATATATGTAGGTACATATTATGTATGTATACTTACTATTATTTTAAAACATAAAAATAAAAATATGTTTAATTCCATGAAATCTGCACAAAAATCATTTCAGTTAAAATATTTTCAAACACATGTAATAATTAATAAGTAATTTGTATCATGTATTTGATATTTTATATGTTTTAGTTTCAAGTGGTTTAGCTGGCTAATGGCATACAGCATTATTTTACTCGGTTCTTCTATTTTCATGGTTTTGTTAATACTATATAACTTTTATAGTAATGGACTGACATATGAAAACACTGGTAAAGCTAAGAATTTATTTTTTCATAAAATTTTTGTTTTATTTAACTTGCTGCTTTAATTTTAAAAACTAGATTATTAATCAAAGGTTATACTAACTTAATTATACAAATTTGTTGAGAAAATATTTATTATACAAGGTAATCGTTCAAGTTTTAACTATAGCGATTATATTATGTAAGGATGGATAAAGATTTTCCTACACCTATTAATAATTACAATTATAAATACAATAATGTTAAGCTAGGTAATTATTATCAATTATAAATCTATTTACACTTTTAGTAAAATAAATAATTACAAATTGTGTAATCACATAAAAATACATACCTAATAATGACAAAAGATAATAATTCACTAAAAAAAAATATTTTTAAATTAAATTTCGCAAGTAGTTACCTAGGTACTGGTAAATATAGGTAATAAGGTTATTTGGTTTACAGGTCATTTTGTATATTTCGGAGGTACACTTATAATTTACATAGTTTTTATTCATTTGGCAAGGGAATGGCCAAAAGTTATGGAAAAATGGGAATTAATGGAACGTGAGATGAAACAATATGGGTATCCACCTAACATGGCATTTAAGATTAAAATGTTAACATGTATCATCATGTTACTTTCAACAAGTATGTAAAGTATAATAAGAAACAAAAAATGTCTTTTCTCAATAGCTCAGAGCAATGATAAAAATCATATGCTCATATAATGCAGTAATGCAATGAAACAATTAATTGATATTGTTGTATAATAGTTATTAATGATAGTTGTTTTACATCTATGTTTTATTTTTACAGTCGAACACTGTGCTTCTATTTTAACTGGAGTATTAAAAGCCATACATTGCTCATCGGATGGACTAGATATTTTTCGACTTTACATTTTGACATCGCTTAGAACAGTCTTTACGTATATAGACTACTCGTTAGTAGTTGCTTTAACTTTGAAGATTTGTGATTGTCTGTATTCTTTTGCTTGGAATTTTATGGATTTATTAATAATCATACTAGCTTGTGCTTTGACGGAGAAATTCAAGCAGCTCAACCAAAAATTAGACGGCGTTAGAGGGAAGGTTAGTAATAACTGACCGATATTACTTACCGATAACACAATATTAGCTTATAACTAAGCTTAAAACTTATTGATATTTTAACGACTAAAAATAATATTAAAATCAAAAAATTATATTAAATTTATAAGATTGAATATTATGTTATTGCAATTTAATTTATTGTCAGTTGATATAATACAAAACCTAACTAGGTATTATAGTAGGTATACCTACGTCAATTCATTTTTGTAGAAAAACTAAAAGACTGAATTGTTTTGCAAATCTAAAGATAAACAGCACATAACCTATACCTACACGATTGATACATTTTGTAGTAGATTTTTTTGTGCAAAATATTATGTCATTTTTCATTGCCACACGTTACATATTCCAGCTACCTATTTAAAGTGTAAATGTTATATGAAAGCCAGGGCATAGATAATTTATTTCGATTTAAATTTTAGGTGCTTCCAAGTATGTACTGGCGAAAATCTAGGGAAACATATAATATTTTAGCGTCGTTGACTCACGACTTTGATGAATTTCTATCTCCTGTGATATTATTATCATTCGGTCATAATTTGTACTTTATTTGCTTACAACTTCTTAACAGCTTGAAGTATGTGAAAAATATATTATTTTTGTGTGTTTCGTTAAGACCATTAAGTAATAACTAATACTTTTAGACCGATGCACAGCTCTTGGGAGGCATTATGTTTTGTATTTTTATTTACATACCTAGTTGGAAGGACATGCGTGGTGTCTTTGTATGTCGCATCCATTAATGATCAAAGCAAAAAACCGAAATCCGTCTTATTCTCTGTGCCAGCAGAGTGTTATGGTGTTGAGGTGAATTAAAGTTTATTTTGAAAATGGCATGCTTATTTATCATTGAAGTAAAACACCAAATAAATTTGTTTTTTTTTTAAATTACAGGTAGAAAGATTTTTAATGCAAGTGACGGCTGATGAATTATCGTTTACTGGATGTAATTTTTTCTCCGTCACCAGGACGTTTATGCTAACGGTTGGCCACAAAATTATTTTTATCCTTTGGAATGTTTTTTTTTATTTACGTTGTGAGTGCTAATGTTTCATTCCGTTATGATAACTTAGGTTGCTGGAACTATAGTCACATACGAGATCGTACTAATACAATTTAACAATGTGGGTAGCGGCGTATCTGATCAAAATAATACTCTTGCTAATTATTGTCCGAAGTTGATATGATTCATAGTTCGGCTGATAAATGAAACAAAGTTAATCTCCTATTTAGTGATAAAGGCATATTATGGATTGTTAGAACCTAACCAGTGATGTGTCTGTGATTTTATACATAAAGAGTTTGTAAACATCATGTATACCTACCTTGTAACATAAATAACTAATCGCTAAAATACAACTGTCGGGTAAAAAAATTACATTTTTATAAGTAGTCAATTCGTAACCTGCAAATATTACAACAAGCCTTGACAGAAATGAGCATTATGAATTTAGACATTTTAATAATGAAATATAATAAATGAATGCTTTGTGACTTGTAAATAACATTAAATACTATATTAATTGTTCATTTTTTTTCAGTCGGAATATATGTTTAAAGTAAAATCATAGGTAAAATCACACTATTTATAATCATCTAAATTAGATTGTTTTTATCTTTTTATTGTTTTCATTAGGCACACCTAAGCAATATGTATGGTAACCGATTACATTTTACTACAATAGTTTTAAGAAAAAAATATATAATATTTAACATTTATGGATGTAGACTGATTTTTTTTTATCTATGTTCTGCAGATGTAATATTTCCAATCAATTATTTTCTATAACCCTTTTTTAAATACAATTATCTTACTTTCAACATGTACAACGAGTCAGGCACGTTAATGCAATCTATTCGGCTTTAAAAATATTTAAATTAACATACAATTTAAAAATAGATTTGTCCATTTATATAATATGTACAATATTATTACTTAATTAAAAGATTTTTAATTATTAATAATAATATAATCTTATTGGCCACCTATGACTCCTATCCAGACTTGTTATCGACTCGAATGTTACTTAGGATAGACTTGTTCTATAAACAAAGACACTTGACTGTTCATTCAAACTTTTAAGTATGAAACATTTTTACACAATTAAAATAATGGGAAAATTTGGTATTTGAAAATTTCAAGTATAATTTTGTTTGTTAAATTTATTATTGTTAAAATATTATGTTATAGTTATTATTTATTTTGATCATTATCAAACTATAAAACAAATAGAAGGTAATCCATGTTGATAATATCATTTTGATGCTAGTAGCCATGGTTATAGAAAATAAAATAATTATAATACAAATGACTTAACAAAGTTAATGGTTTCGAAGAAATTTTTTTAAAATAAGCTTTAGTAAAAATTGAGTTTTGGGTTAGTGTGTATATGTGTGTCCTCCCTCTAATTACCAAAAAATGTAAAAAATGATAAGGTAGCAACTATCACCAACTGCTAAAGTATTTGGAACAACTGTGCAAAAAAAAATTGGAAAAATTCATTGTCTCACAGGAAAATTAATACCGCATTCTATTTGTTTCTAGAATTTGTCAGAAAATTGTCCAAAGTGAAATAAGTGCCTATTCCAATAATAATTCTAAATATCATATAATACATGGCATCTAACCAAGGTTTGAAGTTTGAACACTCAAATGATGAAAAATTAACTTAATTAAAATTAATTTTTACTTTTTAGTAGGTAAACTTTTTTTTGTTGAAGGTAAGGGAACTTATGAGGGATCTTGAATTAAATGTTTGAGTATTAGCTAGATGAAAAGAAACGTTTTTTTGAATTTCTAGCTACATGATAATTTTCAAATGTTCATAATCTTAACCAAATTAGAGAAATTCTAGTTTCAGATTATTATAAAAATATGATTAAGGATTTATACTCAATTTTTTGACCGAGCGAATAATATTTTATTTACAATAATTGAAAAAAACTTTTAAATAATCGAAAATCTGTCTTGGCTATGAACAGCATTTGTATTGCCTTAAAAAGTGACGATAGACACTTTCCCACCAGAAAAATTATTGAAAGTCAATATGCTTCTCTCAGAATCTAAAATTATTTAATGTTAAAAAAAATTTTTTTCTAAAATAACTCATAGTATCACAAATTATATATTTTTCGTTTCTAGGAATAAGCCTATAATATTCTCATTGTCATGTCAAATAACATATTTATTAAAATAAACATTGTTCATACAATAACATTTTATTTTAGTTGTTCTAAGACATTGAAAGTTATTAGTTGCTAATTATTTAATAATATAGAATATCAAATTGTATTAAAAATGAGTATTGTTGGTCAAGAAGAAAATACCCAAAAGGTAAAAAATGAAATTGTAGAGCTCCAGAAGTACATACATTCCAAAATATACCGACAATTGTTGTTGCGTCAACGCATGGATGCCAATTACCAGCGAATGATGGAAGAGTGTATGGTCAACGAGAAGGAATTGGAAAAAATTCGCTCGGAAAACTCACGTTATAAGTTCGTCGGGCAGTGTCTGATGAATAAGGCCGTAGAATTAACCGGTTGCAAATTCGCAAAGAGTTTAACTAAATCCGGAAAAGACGACGATGAAGCAGCTTTACACTTGGAAGTTAGTTTTATAAATTTATTTCAATTGGTACCTAGCTAGGTAGTAGAAATTATCAAATAGCAAGACATTTGTAATGCTATTTAGATATTTATTGATCAATTTAAACAAGATTATAATTAGTGACTTTTTGTTCTTGCATGAACAAATTGCACTCATAAAAAATAAACATGTAATCATAATTTTAATATTTTAATAGCAAAATCTATTATCTAAACCTTTCTCTAATATTCTCAAAACCGGTACAGTATTTTTTTGATTCTATAAGCCTTTAATATTATATAACAGATGTCGCCCATGTCTTCTATCCTAATACTTTTTTTTTTAATAACGACATTTAATTATGTAAAAAAATATATGTACAAAAACATTAATAGTTTTACTTCTGGTCATCTGTTATACTATGATGTTCTTATGATAGGTACATATAGAGTTGTCGTTTAGATTTACCTCCTTTCAACGTACTTACTATAATATTATCCCAACCTACTTAGTTCAAAAAGTTCAAAATAATTATATTTTAACAAAAATTACACAGCGAATGGAATTTAGGTATATTATAAATAATATACAAGACAAAATAATTGACCACTAGTAAGCTACTTACTCCGTACTCGCGTGTATTTTGATTAAATATTCCTACGAAACTACAAGGTCTCTTTTTTCCGTCGGTGTTTACAGGTGTGTAGTAACAAACTGTTGGCCGAGCTGGCGACGTACAGGGAGAAGGCCGAGGCGGCGTCCAGAAACTTGGCCGATGCCAGAGAAAAACTGGCTAAGGCGTCTGAGTTGGAGGAGTGCTTGAAGCGGGGTGCAACAAACCTGACGGTGCTCGCCGAAGCTGACCGGACAAGGAGGGACTGCGAAGAGGCGGAGTTGCGGACGATGACCAAGCGACTGACGGCCGAGCTGGTGGAAGCGCGGCGTGACGCAGACTTGTTGCGGACAGCCGTGGAAGAGATGTCGGAATCGGCGATGGGGAGCGATGGGGCGCCGGTCATGTGCAGTAGCACAGGGCTGCGCGAGGAAAATATCCGGTTGCAGGCCGATTTGAAAACCAACCTGGAGGTAGAGGCCACATTACACGCCAGAATTGTTCAGTTGGAGACCACTCTGCAGAAGACTTGCAAGAGGGCTTAGGGGCAGTCTTGCTTGGTCAGACAGCGGACAGTTAGACTACGAAAGCGACAAAAACCATACGCACGACTTTTTTTTGAACTATAAAATTATCTGAATAGATTTTAACTACCTAATCAAATGCACGTTTTATCATATTATACATTACTACTAGGTTATAGGTACAAAAACTTAAAACCTAGTTATAAAAAAAATGTATAACTCTATGTCAACAAAACTCACCAAAACATCTAAAAAGTTTTTGTGATTATTTATCTTTGAAAAAAAAAATAATTGCTGAAGTGTAAAATTCAGTTGTTAAAAAATATATACATTACTATATGAGGCGAGCAGAAAAATAATTATTAAATTTAATTATTAATGCTGAAATGAAAAACGTAACTAAATGCAAAAATCAACAAACAAAAAAAAATATGTCCACAATCCTTTACAAACGTATGGAATAAACGAAAATTCGGGGCATTTCCTCTGCCCTCCCATCGGTTTTTTCAATTTTGTAGCAAAAACGAAATCTGTTCTAACGAAAAAAAATAACTTTGCAAACGACTTACAAACACATAATAGACGAAAGTTCGATACCTATATCGTTTGTAAAGAATTCGTTTTGCTAATATTGTAACTTTTTAATAATAACCTTGTAACATAAATAACTAATCGCTAAAATACGACGGTCGGTTACAAAAATTTCATCCTTGTAAGTAGGCAATTCGTAATCTGCTAACACAATAACAAACCTTGTCAGAAACGAGCATTATAAATTTAGGCATTTTAATAATAGAACATTCTTCAAATAAATGAATGCGTTGTGACTTGTGAATAACGTTATAAATACTGTATTAATTGTTCATTTTTTTCCATAGGACTATTTTGTTGAAATAAAATTACCCTATTTATAATAGTTATATAATATGGAATACCAGTTATATTTGACTAAATGTGTTTAGGTAACATTTAATATGTTAAATATAAATTATTTTTTTTATATAACTGGTAGTCTTATATTTTGCTTAAATGTGCCTAATGAAAACAATAATAAGTTTATCTAGTCAAAATGATGATAAACAGTAAAGAAATATTACATATTATATTACTAATATAAATAGTGTAATTTTATTTCAACAAAATAGTCCTACGGAAAAAAATGAACAATTAATACAGTATTTATAAAGTTGTTCACAAGTCACAACGCATTCATTTATTTGAAGAATGTTCTATTATTAAAATGCCTAAATTTATAATGCTCGTTTCTGACAAGTTTTGTTATAGTGTTTGCAGATTACGAATTGCCTACTTACAAGAATGAAATTTTTGTAACCGACCGTCGTATTTTAGCGATTAGTTATTTATGTTACAAGGTTATTATTAAAAAGTTACAATATTAGCAAAACGAATTCTTTACAAACGATATAGGAATCGAACTTTCGTCTATTATGGGTTTGTAAGTCGTTTGCAAAGATATTTTTTTTCGTTAGAACAGAATTCGTTTTTGCTACAAAATTGAAAAAACCGATGGGAGGGTAGAGGAAATGCCCCGAATTTTCGTTTATTCCATACGTTTGTAAAGGATTGTGGACATATTTTTTTTTGTTTGTTGATTTTTGCATTTAGTTACGTTTTTCATTTCAGCATTAATAATTAAATTTAATAATTATTTTTCTGCTCGCCTCATATAGTAATATATATATTTTTTAACAACTGAATTTTACACTTCAGCAATAATTTTTTTTTTCAAAGATAAATAATCACAAAAACTTTTTAGATGTTTTGGTGAGTTTTGTTGACATAGAGTTATATATTTTTTTTATAACTAGGTTTTAAGTTTTTGTACCTATAACCTAGTAGTAATGTATAATATGATAAAACGTACATTTGATTGGTTAAAATCTATTCAGATAATTTAATAGTTCAAAAAAAAAAAAAAAAAATAGTAGTGTAAAATGCAGTTGTTAAAAAATATATATAACTATACAAAGAGAGAATAAAAATAATTATTAAAGCTGAAATGAAAAATGTAACTAAATACAAAAATATACAAACGAAAAACATATCTTTACAAACACTTACAAGTAACATAAAAACGTATGGAATAAACGAAAATTTAAAATTTAAATTTAGGGGTGCTGGGGTGATGGACCTAGCAGTGACGAAAGCGACGAACCTCAAATTTACTACTGTCCCGGAACGGTTTTCTTTTAGGTGACAACCCGTGAAAAAAAATAAAAAAATAAAAAAAAAAGAATTGATGAATTATCTAACTAAAACAATACTACATTTGGTTGCATGTTTTGGGGGACTATATCGATGTTAAGTTTTTTTTTTAAATTGAATATTATTTTTTTTGTAAAATCATGCCGCTGAAAGATAAAAAATTGATCAAATTATAACAGAAAATTGAGATAAAGAAAAATTTTATTTGTACTAAATTCTTCATTATTATTTGATGAATTGCTTATCTTTCAGCGTTATGGTCTAACATACAATGAATGATCAATTATAAATAATATGGTATAATAATCGACATAGTACTCCAAAACGACGAATTCAACATAATGTAGTATTGTTTATTTAATTAGATAATTCACAAATTTTTTAAATTTATATTTTTTTACTTCTTTTCACAGTCGCGCGTATGGTTTTTGTCGCTTTCGTAGTCTTACTGTCCGCTGTCTGACCAAGCAAGACTGCACCTAAGCAATCTTGCAAGTCTTCTGCAGAGTGGTCTCCAACTGAACAATTCTGGCGTGCAATGTGGCCTCTACCGCCAGGTTGGTTTTCAAATCGGCCTGCAACTGGATATTTTCCTCGCGCAGCCCTGTGCTACTGCACATGGCCGGCGCCCTATCGCACCCCATCGCCGATTCCGATATCTCTTCCAAGTTGGCTGTTTAATTTTTGTTAAAATAACATTTTTTTATTTTAAGATTATATATTGTTTTTTTATTTTTAGTGATTAATATTGATGGGAGTGGGTCGTGTGATATTTACTAGGCATTGATGGGAGAGGAGGGGCACGGTGTAGCATGGTCGTGCGTGTACGCTATAGCAGTCGCGCGGATATAGTAGGATGTGGGTAGTAGGTATAAGAACCGCTTTTCTTATATTTCTTATATTACTACATGAGGTGAGTAAAAAAATAATTATTAAAATTAATTATTAATGATGAAATGAAAAACGTAACTAAATACCAAACATTATTTTTATCAGGCACATTTAAGCAAAATGTAAGGCAACCCGTTATATTTGACTAAATGTGTCTAAAAAAAATTAATAAATATTTAACATTTATTTCATAGATGTAGACCGTTTTTTTAAATGTAGGTCCGTGTGTAATATTTTCAATAAATTATTTTCCATAACAAGTTTTCGTATAGAATAATCCTACTTTTAACTTGTAAGATGAGACAGGTAGTTAAGTGTAAAGTATTTGGTTTTAAAATTATTAAAATTAAACATAATATTTAAAAATATTTTTGTTCATTTTCATACTATGTACACTAAGTTAATGTTAAGTTTTATAACTATGAATAATAATATAATCTTATCGGGCACCTATGACATATTTTTCTTTGTTCTGTAAGTTTCCAATTTAAAATCATCCACAAAAGTGAAATAGTAATGTCACAATTCGACAGTCAATTCTATATTATGTTGGTGACGGCTAATATATTATATTTGATCGGAAATTCGAAATCAGTATAATCAAACATTGGTTGGCATATTGATGAGCGTATTTTTTCTCGTTATTTTAATTAGACGGTGGCACTGTTAAAGCTTATACAAATTTAAAATTTGTACGAAAGCAATAGACCAAAATCACAAACTACTCAATACCCATCATAAAAATTCACCGCATTGTTATAATATTAATATGGTTATTGATCACTAGTATATTAGTTTCACTTTTTAGGTATATATTTTATCTAGTTATTAAAAAAGTCTTGACATGAGTGTAATATTATTATTAATTGTATACATTTCATAATAAATTTATTAGTGATGACCAACAGTAGCACAATAACAATGTATGTATACTATACTTTTACATTTTTTTTCCTATAAATGTGTGATGATTTTGGGTAGGTAACATTATATTAGCATAATAATTTATAATTGATATAAGATGCAGAATTTTAATTTCAAGTGTGTATTGTATAATAATGTGTACATGCAGTTACTGATATTATGTCAAGAGGAATTGCTACCCATGTATTTTTGTTGTAACGCAAGACGTATCAAATTTTAGTTCACTACAGTTTCAATACCTTTATGTACTGGCTGCTAGTATACTGATAATTTTGATATTAGAGTGCATTAACCTATAATCAAACTTTTAGGTAACAACATTAACTGTGTTTATAAGTTGGTTATTTTTTCGATGTTTTAATTTCAAGCGAGATGTGATCATTTTTAATTTGTGATATTTCACTTATCCATATATTGCTTGAAAATTAAAATATTGAAAACATTACTGAAGGTTAAGCACAGATAAAACGTTCTTAACTAAAAGTTTGATATTAGGTCTGGTCAAATCTGTCTAATATTAATACCAATAGTATACTATTGAAACCAGTGAACTAAAATTTGCTAGGTCATATTTTTGTAAGGCGGAAACAACAAACTTGTGGGTAGCGTTCTCTGAAGTCAAATCGGTCGTTATATTGGTTTTGATTTACTTGCAATTTGCATTATGATAAATATTAATCAATGCCGTTTTTTTAAAATTCACTGATAGTTGTAGAACATGTGTACTACTTGATACTCTAGGAGTTTATCGTCAGATATTAATTCCACATATTTATAAATGCACAACGGATATTTATTGAATATTAACATAATAATTATGGTAATAATATTAATATTATTAATAATAATAATAATAATAATAATAATAATAATAATAATAATAATAATAATAATAATAATAATAATAGTAATTATAATAATAATATTAATAATTTCTTAACAGTGTATAATTATAGTTACAATAACAACATTTTGATACCTAGCTTAAGTTTACAATATTTTTTTGTTTTTAACAGTGATAGACATTATACAAATATAATATGGTAGGTACTACTTACAAAATGGTTTACGACAATAATAAATAGTAAATATATTATAATGGCTAGTTTTAAAATATAAATGAACATAAAAAGTTACGAAAATTGTATTTACAAATTTAGTAGTTCAATGAATATTTCACACCGTACAATGCTGGGCTATCCATCATTAGGTACGGAGTACAAAACATAACAAACATCAAAATATACATAATATATATAATATCAAAATATTAGGTTGTAGTTACTACGTACGAAATAGGTATCTAGCATTCTAGTAGACTATTTTCTTATTTTACTGAAATAAAAAACGAGTGATAAGTCGTCTTAGAAATGAAAACAATATTCATAAGACTCCACCAAATAATAACATTAAAACATAATTTCATCAATTTTATCATAAGCATAGGTATTCTTAGAGTATTGGAAATGTTGTCTTTTACTCAAAATCGTTTCAATAACTGTCGTGGGAGTCATGTTGTAACAATACGAACAAAAAATCACTCTTTAAACTATTATAAAGTATTCTAGATTATCAATGCAGTTTATAATCCTCGACTTTAAATGGAAGGAAGCTAATTTTGCTAATATAATATAATTATAGTGTATAATACGTGGTGTCAATTATATGTATATGCACGTCTTCAATAACATATGCTCAGACATATTCTGAAAGTCTTCCGACGGCGTATTTTACGATTTTTAGTTTAATATTGTTTCAATATTAATTATATTATCGTTCGATTATCTAAGGTGCGGCCATACTACATATAGCGACAGTCAATAATGAAATTACGGATTTTCCGTTGACACTGTATTATGCACGACGTGTATTCTACTTTGAAATCACGGCGTTGGCACTTTGCAGACGAAAATGTCAGAGTCTTTTGGTTTACGCTTTTATCGGTCGGGATATTAATGTTCTGAATAAATAATATTTGTTAACGTTTTAACTGAGTCCATTAATTGGCTCGACTATCACTTTTTTTTGAATTTTACAAACGAGGATTGTATTGAACAGACATATTGTTATGACAGAATGGTGGGTACATTTTAAAATATAAAATATAGAATCATTTACATATATATATATATACATGTGTCGATATAAAAGAGAAAATGATTCAAAATACGCCCTCGAATAGTTTTTCTCTTATGATCATAAATAAATGCACTAGAAATAGAAATTTATACGGGTTTCAACAGGTATTTTCTATGAAAGTTGTGATAAATAATGGATAATGTAAGTTATTAAACATCAAAATCTCCTGACATTGTTATGTTATGTTATAGTTATTATTATTATTATTATTATTTCTATTATTATTATTATTACGAGTATTTTATGGAAATGTGATATTTACACTATACACATAGATACATATTACACAAAAGTTGGATATATTTAGGATTTGGAGGTAATGTGTCATTGTTTAATGGCATGGACCAAATAATTAATTTTTCTCCAATTACAATACAATATATATGCTCATATGGAAAACCTAATAACAATATGATATAATTACTGAAAAATTCTAAAAGTTCTGGAGAACATATTTTATACTTTTATTAAGAATCAATCAGATTTGTTTGAAATTTATATATTTTTTATTTGGTTCATAATAATATTATAATATAAAAAAGGAAGATAATATTACGTATATATATATATATATTTCTTTTTCAAAGATTTTTGCTTAAAAAAATCACTTTAACCTTTCTGTTAAATAAATTATAACAAACTTTTAATACGGTCAAAGTAATAAGAAAAGTTTTTTGTTTTATTATTATGTTTGTAGTTCTAGGGGAAAAACTTTTATACCGATGGTTCTGTAAAGGAAAAACCAAGGATAACAAGAATATTGTTTTTTTGTTTTCAATTTTACTTGTTCTTCTACTTTATGTCATCAATTACCCCCCCCTCCCATTTCTCTAATTTTATGTTTTTTTACGAGCTTAAAAATATTCTTAAACTCCTATTTACGAATGTTTTAAGACATATCTGTAAGCAATAAATCGGTGAAAATGATCATTGCATCAGACTAAAAATTATCATAATCATGAAATAAATCACCACTTTGGGGGTTTTTTGGTGAATTTTGTCATACAATTGTTATACACATTGAGAGTGTGATTGTTTTAGATTAGGGCTCATAATATAATTGACATGTGTCCTGGTTGAATATATCTAGTTATTTAATCAAAATGAGACTAACTGTTTCACGGATGTCGACAAATCGGGATAATGTTACTGACAATGGTCTATTATATATTATAATATATTCAATTAAAATGCACTAACGTATTATTTTAGGTACTTTCGATGATAACTCCACAGTTTTGTAATGTAAATGACTGTACGTAGAAATGTTATAATTGTGATTTAATAAATAGCATTAAAAAAACTATATATATAACAACCTGCCAGTTTGAATCTTATTTAAAATTTAAAACTTAAGATCATTATGAAAATAAAATAACAATTTGTAAAGATAATTTACATCAACTCACTGTTAATAAAATCGTGTTGCCTTTCTGTCACGTTTGCATGTGAGAACAATTATTATCGAGAGTTAAACAGTATTTAACTGTACGGAGCATAAATAAAAATTACTTTTAATCGAATTACCTACAATCCCACACAAAAAAATTGCATAAATTCCGAATGAAGATTAAACTAACATAGTTCTAGTAGAGCATAATGTTTATAGAGTGTATGACATTAGGTAACGTTAAATATTATGATAGATTCTAGAAATCAATAAATTATATTTTGGGGCCATTTTTTGCTAAACGTGAACATACAGGTAGTATAGGTAAATAATTTACTCTGAAAAAACGTCAAGATTTTTATACAAAATAAAATGTGGTAATACTATAAATATAAACTAATACGATAATTACAATAAAATATATAATAATACATGTAATGTCGACGATGAGACAAATATTATGACGAAATGAAAAGTTTTAATATGCGTCTTATAAAATTATGTACAATGAAACGAAATGTCCAGAAATAGGCGGCTCGTGGACTCCAGCAGTCAGAATCGATGCAATTATTTAAATTAATTTTGTAATTATTTATTTTTACTGGTAGCTTATAATATAGTTTAGTCGTAGCGTCGTAGCGTGAGTCCTTATTCGTCCGCGGAGCGCAAACGAATAACTCATTAATATAAATCACCTTTTTTTTTTCTCTGTCCGCGCAACCCTCAAAGTGAAATAAAATTATACAATGGTGGTAAACATTGTTTGAAAACAATGTTTGTAACTAAAGCCAAACGCAGCGGAGTGAATCGATGTTACCTATAATAGCAATCGTACATCGACGTTAACTGTACTGAGTACAAACTACAACATTAGTAAAATAGGATAATATCATATTTTCATCTAATATGATACACCCCACCTATTATACGATATTATTGACTCGATTTTGAGATATTGTGTCGATCGTGCTAATTATATTGTTTCCTTAAAAATACGCTTGTTGTCTAAGTGTAGCCGCAGTTAGTAGTGGCCCGAAAGTCTATGTTATAAGGTAAGGCCATAAGGTATAATAATATGTTATAATATGCCATATGTTATAAGGTCTAACGTTGTTTTATAGGTAATTAATGCATAATGTTAAGGTGTAGGTAAATACTTAATATAAAATTGCTTCATTTAAAATGTCAGTTAAGTCTCCTCAACTGCGTGTAGGCATAGGTATTATTCGAAATGATATTCTATTTGCTAATGTGTGTCCGGTTTAGTTTACTCTGAAATTATAGAAGCATTAATAACATTATATTTTTGACAGGCGTACACGGAGTAATGCACCGGAAATTCGTGCAGTGCGCGAAACTATTGTCTACTTGATAATAATAATAATAATAATAATAATAATAATACTAATAATAATAATATGTGATTGATAATTAAACAGATGCGATTGTAATGATGGACGATTTAAACTCTGAACGAAATTATTGTATTCTACGACATTGACGGGAAAACGATTTATTATTTATAAAATATAATGTCAGATTTTAATTACAAATTTTAAACTAGAAGCGGAGCCAATAATGTATATTATAATTTATCATATATCAATTTAGTTTAGACATTTTATTTGTTTAAACTATAATATCAATCGAAGATTGTAAAAAAGCTTAGCCAAACAGTTAAAACCGTATACCTAGGTATGCATTATTAATTTATTACATCTAGAAACTTTTACGGGGGTTAATTTTTTATCAACTACCCAAACATATTATTCCAAAACAATATTATAATATATATTTATCTATTTTTAATTCTTCCCGCAGTTATATGTTATAGATATTAGCATCGACTCTTTTTAATATTGTAATAATTACGTATAATTGTTCAACGAGTTGTCGTATCGCATTTGTTGAGCAGAAGCTCTACGGTTTGATTTGAGAGCGAGTAGATCAGCAGCTGATGTTGTTTTTTTTCAGCCAAACGATAAACCCACCAGAGTCTCCACATAAATCCCAGTACAAACGATGAAATTGTGGGATATAAGGATGTGCGTCTTACTTTCTGCTCGACATAATAATATATTATCTAGTAAACGATTTAGCAAACGACTTTTAGATATTATATCATTTTTTGGATTGTCTAAAGTCTAAAGGTAACATATTACACAGTCGTCGGAACTACAGCACGCGGTTTCATCATTACTATCCATAATTATATTTTTGAAAATTTAAATAATTGCAAACAAGTCGAGACACGTCGTTTACAGTGCAGAACAAAAACCAATAACCTATAATAATATCGTTACAGGTCTTCGACTACAATTTGACCAATTTATCGTCGCTGTTGACCGCTGACGGGCATAAAACTCTCGGCAGGGATCCATCTCCTCTTAAGTCAAATTTCACAGTAAAAACAACAGGACTACAAAATCACAATAAATTGGCGTACAGTCAAACGCGATCGATTACATTATTACAGTTAATACATCTATTAGAATAATAACATAATACGATAATTTATTATTAGACTATCCTAATTAAAACGAACAAAACATAATAATATTATAATATCGTTTATAGCTACTACAATAGTGACGAACAATGCGCGTAACACAACACAATAATAATAAACCAGTTAATATGTTATAATAATTATGTTATTATTATTTACATGGTAATGATGCCGTGAACGGTGGTATGCGGCGGCGGTATCAGAGCCCGCGGTACGAATATAGGCAAAACGAGAGTAACGACCAGTCATTTGCGGGTGCTTTGAACCAGCTCGGCCACACGTTAAGCCGTAAGTATTTTCAATTCAAAAATATTAAGTGAAATACATAATAACTGTATAATTTTATTTTCTGCGATCACAACCTCAACCACAACCACAACCACAACCACAACCACAACCGCAACGGACACGACGACGGACTACGACAACCGCCGTATTTCATAACATTATAATATTATTATGCACGCGGACCGCGCCGATCGGCACGAGCGCGGCGACTGCAGGTGCAGCAGAAGTGACCGCAGCGATGACGGTCAGACCCTCATTTCGCTCATGGCGGCCACGGGCATCTTGAGCGTACCGGTTTTGGGCATCTGACCGATGCCCACGCCCTGCTGCACGAGCAGCGGCTGCGACTCCTGCGACTGCACCCCCACCGAGGACCGGGGCGGCGGAGGCGGTTTGGGCAGCGTGCCGTGCACCAGCGACCCGTTGGGCGGGCAGCCACCCCCGCCACCGACCTGGTGGTCGTGTAGCAGTCTGGACGACGGTTTGGCCGCCTTCGGGAACGTCATGTCGTCACGTCGCACCGCCGCTGTGGCCGCTGACAGTTGTTGTTGTTGCGTCGTCGTCGTCATCGTCCCGGTCGTTTGAGGCGGCGGTGGATGCTGCCCCCCTACGACGGTCGGCACGTGATGGTGGTGCATGTGGTGGTGCTGATGGTGACCGCCAGCCCCGTGGTGGTGGTGATGCCTCTGTTCCATGTCCACAGCCACTGCGTCCGCTGCCAAGTGCATCTGCTGAGCCGGTGGATGGTGATGGTGCTGCAGGTGATGATGGCGCCCGTCGTAACCACCCGCCTTGTCGACTGCCACCGTGGCCGATTGCTGCAGTCGGTCGTCCGGAACGGTGGCCGCCTTGTACCTGACTGAATCCTCTTGGCCGCCGACCGTCTGCTGGTGTTGGTGCTGCTGGTGACTTTGCAAACACTTAAACCTATCCTTCTGGTAGCATATGATCACCAGCAGTAGGCCGTTGAGCACCAGCAGCGACACGCCTAGCGCGATAGTCACGTGCAGTGCTGTCGAGTAGGCCGCGTAACCGGCCGCACCCAGTGTGGCCAGCGCGTCTTCGGCCGACGTGGACGCGTTGGCCGAGTTCGAGCCTCGCACCGGTGGCAGGCACGTGGTCGCTTCAGCCGCCGGCCACTGCGGCCGGCCCGTGGTCGTCAGCGACTGCACCACCTCTGCCACCGTGCCGTTGGCCGTGAATCGGTTGACTGTTGCTCGCTGCGGTGCGCGCCTGGACAGCGGGTCCGGCCTCACCACGCCCTCATACAGTTCCGCATCGTCATGGTTCCGGAACAGGTTGTGCCGCAGCATCACGTCCTCCATGCCGGCCCGGTGCAGTTCCGGTATGAGCCTCAGCCACACGGACAGCTGGTGCGCCCGGAAGTGGTTCTTCATCCGGGGCTTCATGCCTGTAATCATTTCGAATAGCCACATTAGTATAAGTCGATTGTCTAGGTAAGGTTTTTTTATTGTGTAACTTGTATATTATATTTTTCGGTGTGCGAAGTGAAAAAATAACTCAATTGTGCTATAAAGTATAATATATGAATATCAAAATAAAAAATCGTACTCTATCCTTTCAGAATCTACAAAAAAGGACGCTTATATATAATATAATATATATAATGTATATTCATACATAATAAGCGTATAATCAATAAAACAATATACGGATTTTAATCGTATCGTCATTAAATGATGTAAAAAAATCATATAAATAATTAATTACGATACGTAAAGTATTGATACGAAAATAATAATACAAAAAAACATTTTTAAATTATTCAGTGATTGAAATATTTTACACCGTATAAAATTCAACCAGAAAAACAAACACTGTTCAAATAATATGAAAAAAAAAATAACAATCAATTAATGAATTTAATATAATAATATACATAATATAATTTAAATTATCATTATCAGTTATAATTGGATTTTAATCCGAATTTTTAAAAACGAAAAAAAAAAGTAAAAACATTCAATTATAATATCGAAATACAATTATTTTATACCTAGCTGAATATTAAATTAAATACAACATTAGCTGCAGTTGTGTGGGATAAAACTTACTATAATTTCTAGCGATTATTATAGTATTGCATGTCTTGTCTTAGGGTCTAGATTTGCAACGAAGGACGATCAATAACCTACTTTTATATTTTTGTGTGTTTATTTACAATAATACTTGCACAGTTTTATCCAAAAGAGTGGATGCGTGGTAAAAATATAAACTGTCTCGCGAGTTCATGAACTCATAATATAAAGATTCCTGCTGCCACTGCATATGCAGACTTTGCTCAACGGATGTGCTATTTTATTTATTCAATGACTGAAAGATGAAAAATGTAATTTATTTAAATGGTACTGCATGCTACAAAATGCATATACAATTGACAAACGTCTGAAACGAAACTATGGAGAAAGTGAGTTTGTGTTTGTGTTGGGTGCAACTTAGTACAACTTTTGAGCGTCTCCGTCTATTTTATATTAACAGTTACAGGTTATTTCATCGATAAGACTGAAAATATTTTGTATGTGAAATAAACCACTGTCATAGTCGTGTATATACGCTTGTAATAATTAATTATTATGACTATAATTATATTTAAATACCCACAATAGTTTTTATTAAAGGCATCCATGTGTTTTAAACATATTTATATTTGCATATTAACCTCTCTTTAATATACGATTGATTATTGAGTTCCATAATCTGAATCTAATTATTCAATATTTTAATCTAAACTTTTAGAGAAAATCGTATTTAATTAAATACAACTTTTCTCGCTTCGGGTCATATCAAAGTCATTGCAAAATATTATTCACAATAATTTATAGTTCTAATTAAATTGAAATAAGTACGAATAGTTAAATTCAATACAAACTGTATATGATTTCATGAAATTCATTTTAATCAAATGGCAAACAGATTGTCATGTTAAAGATATTATTCATTTATAACCACAGATGGCCCGGTGACGGAATGTAGAAGCTTAAACAATATCAATACTGTCGTTTGTATTCATTTTCGCTTGTGTATACGATTATTGAATAGGCACAAATGTAAGGTTTGAATAATATTTTGGTAGAGTTTCAAAAGAAAATTGGAATTTGAAAAACACTATTGTGTATGTTTTTGAATAAATGTATAGCCGATCGGTGTTTCTAATATAGTAATATATATATATTTCGGATATACTTTACATGTACGATTTATCCCTATTTAAATAATATTTAAACTTTAAAGAACCATTTGAAAAATTTTTCGTTATGAATATCCATAGAAGGAAAATAAACATTTTTCTAGGTTAAGTTGCTACTTTAACAAATCAATAGAAATAAGGAATAACTAACATATTAACAAATGTAATTTAAAACAAAATAGATTGTAATAGAAAACGTATTGCATTGTCCCATAATTTTATCCTTCAGATTTGTCTACGAGGATATAGTATTACTATATTTATCCAAAAATGAACTATGAATACAATTTAATGCAAACAAATATATTTTCTATTTTATTGTTACGTGATATTGCTATTTAATATATTTGTACTTTTATCATCTTTTATTTGTACTCAATGAGTTTTCTTCAGATTTATTTTAACATTCACAATTTAAGGTACAACTAGATTATAGAGTTTAAATTTAATTATTACCTGATATGTTTCAAAATCTTAATCCTAAATGATATATTTACCTTTTTACTGATTTTTTATCATTTATTTTTGTTCATTCAAATACATTGTTTTTAAAAGCCATAAAAGGATATGAAGCCATATTATACAGAGATAATTAAAATAAAACGAAAATTGCTTGACTTTCTAAATAATAAACATTAAACTCATTGCATAATATTTTGTAATTACAAAAGGGTTGTTTCGAAGAACAGCATTATGTTAAACAGTGAAGAATGTCATGTTTACATCGATATTCAATTTTAAATAAGAACGGCAAAGAAACTGTCAATTTAAATTTTAGAAAATTGACATTGACAAAAGCAAAATAATAAATACTTTCAAGTTGAACAGAACTCCGGATGAGGAATTTACTAAGCAGATGAAATATTTAAAAACGTCAGAAGAGCTTGCGTTTATTGTACCTACGTATCGGCTACAAAACTTAATACTACAAAACTGTCGAAATTCGCAAACAGCTATAAAGATTATAGTGCCGCACAATCCATTGACGATGACAATTAATAATAGTTTCAGTCGAAACAACTTCGTCGATCACCCAAACTAATATTATAATATACATAACCACTGTTCAACTGACAAACATACTTAAATTGTATGAATTAATAACTGTGTATCCGTCTGCTCCGCAGTTGTATAATACTTGTATAGTAGTCACGTATGTACGATAGGAAGTTGGAGTTTGGTATCAGACGAAAGGTCTCGGGGCTGCAGGTGCTCTTATATAATGCGTATCGAGGAACTTTAAAATCAATACTTACGTTCTAGGAACTAGCGTTGTATAGTTATAGATATGTACCATATACGATAATTCAATTTTTAAGTTAGCTCTTATACGAAATAGTTTTATATGACTATTGGAACATTAGCAATTACGTATTGTCGTAGCACATAGCCCCAGCAGACTGTTATTATTAGATATTATATAAGACACCGGTGTGGGAGTACGCTGGAGAGAAGTGAATACTGAAATTGATATTTAACTTCGATTGGAATTAAAATGTTATGCATACAAATATAAAACTAGATTAAAAAAAATAATACTTGTGTGATTTACGTTTAACGTCGAGCGTTAAATTCGTTTAACGGTCCGCTGTCGCCCATGGAGTATTCACTTTCAAAATTATAAAGTCTATTGAAAATATTATTAAATAACAGTAACAAATACGATTCGTTTGCTATCTATATGAATATTTGTGTGGTTGCAGTGGCTCGATAACGAATATTGTATGGTGGTAATCTCACTCTTGAAGTTTGTCTTATAGGTTAGAAATCTTGCTGCAGTTAATCGCTTGGACTGCACATAGTTGTTTAGAGGAAGTGGAAATAAATATTAAACATCTTATTTAACTTACCGAAGCAAAAATTATTTTAGGAAATGTTAGCCGAAAACATTAGAGGAAACCAATTACGCTCTGAAAACTGCGTATAAAAGAGATTTCTGATCTCCGTCGACGACGCTACGTTGGTTCTGTATTAATATATAATAATGTTAGGTGCACGAGAAAGCAATAGCGCTGGATTCATTTTAACGCGAGCTTCACAATTTTGAATGGTATTTCGGTTTATTATAGTGTAAAATTGATGAGAAAGTGAAATGGTAAAATAAATAAATAATTACAGTTTCCTCCAAACGCAGTTTTCAGCAAACCAAATGATAAATGAGTAAATATAAGACGCGTAGGTATAACATTTCAAGATATGTTCAAATCGCAAATGAAAAATATAGATATTTTCAACGTTTTAAATCTAATTTTATACTCACTTATTTCTAAATACTTTTGATGCACCGGATCATATTCATCCCACGTGACGCTTCGAAACCTGTTCCGCTCTTTGGACCCGGAATCGGGCTTATCGTCGTGATCGTTCGGATCCCTGGAGGGAGAAAAAAAATACACAATTTTAAAAATAATCGTGCAAGAAAAACGAATGTCAGGAGACAAATTTATTCACCATGGATATTATTCGTTTACAAAGCACATTTGTCTTTCAGACAACCGATAAGGACATTTTTTCCATCTATCCTCCCCTGCAGCTTTCGCCGGAGACAAACAACAAAATCCCAAAAGCGTTTTCTAATTTCAAGGCCTGGGGTCTATTTCAGTATTATCCCGATCTCAACCCTTCCATACTACCACCAGCCTCCGAGTGCAAGGCGATGTGTCCAGTGTATTAAAAAGAAGTAGGTTGGACACGCCCAAATGAATGAACATTTTACTACGTAAAAGGTCCATTTATCATTCGGTATAACATTTGCAAGGGATCTTCGTATTTTTTTTTTTTTTACTACATTGTTTCCGTATTAAACACGTACAAAAAGCACATTGACAATCGGTAGAGCTTAAATCTGTCCGACTACAATATTAATCGAATTTTATTGAAATCATTCGAGATAATGATATTATATATTTTAAAATGCTAACAACTATGCATTTTTATTCAATTAAATATAAACGTATCAAGAAAAAAGGGATTTATTTTTGAATAACTTAAAAACAGTTTTCGGTCTTGAATATTGTTTTTTTTTTATTGTCTACCAAAATTGAAAGCTGCAACCGTTCCCCTCGCACCGGAAATTAATATTTAAAATTTACAACAAAAGACATCAAACTTGCTACAATAAATAAAAGTTATCATTTTAATTTTACTTATTTATTCACTTGTACTATAGGCATGTTTTTGTATAGGTACTAATATAATACTATACATTGTATGTAACGGTAGTTTCTGTGGAATTGACGATTTGTACAATGTAAACAACTATTTTTTAGTTCATACGATATTTTCTTATCTTTAAATATTATTGTTATTTAATATTTTGTTATTTTGTTATTTTGTTGTAATACGACGAATATGAATGTTGATTAAAGTTTCTCAAAAAAAAAAAAAACTATTAGTTAATTAATGTTGTATTTAACCTAAAGTTATTGTTGCTTTTAGTCAGAACCTTAATGTAACGGTCAGTTGAACATAAATGAATTTCGCATACTTTTGAAAATTGTATGTTATGTGTATTGTGTATATAAACTAATTAATAAATATATAATTTTTAAAAGTGTATAATCACGAAAGAACTATTATCATATCTGATACAGAATACAATACTATTTTATTTAGAGTTGTTACTAAAGTAAGAAAAATAATATTTATCAAACAAAATGCATAATAATAATTGTACCCAAAAAACTGATTTTAATTATTCCTGATAAAATTATAATTGTCCCGATTTAGTAAAAGCATGCTAACACAAGTTAAATTGTATTTGTATATTTATATATTTTTAATATACTTTTAAACGGATGAAGTCTTTATATAATATGCATACGTATATTATTACTTGCTACTAATTAATTGACGCTAATGTGATTACTTCCGACTCCGATATTTCTTGTTGAAAACTAAGTTTGTTGACCATGTCTAAAAGTTTATTTAACGACACTCGACGGTATTAAAACTGTCAGTGTCGCAATTCTAAAATAAAACGAAAATAAAAAGTATAAGAAAAAAATTGCTGACGATTAGGATAAAAGTATATTATGTAAGTCTTAGAATATTTAAAATTAAAAATTAAAAGTTGTTGAACCTTACCTACCATAAGTACCTAATTGTGCACATGATGACGTCGAGTAATTGCAGCATTTTCGTGTAAACATTAACTATACCCATATCTAGTTACCGCCATAGCTACCCAAATATACGGAAGGGCGCGGTTTTAATTTCGTCGTCTTCTTTCCGCATGATTTAATGCAATGAAAAATTATTCTATCGTATTATATGCGCAGGGATCAACGAGCGCATCGAGTTATCGCGAGTTTATCATGTAGAATTTAGCGTTACTAACCGTCGTAGATTAGGTTAGGTTAATCTAAAAACAGTTAACTACAGCCATATGCATAAATATTATTAAACAATGACGATGATGATGATGATAATAATAATAATAATAATAATAATAATAATAATAATAATAATATTGACGCAGCCGAAGACTCCAAATTTTCACACGACGGTAACAGTTGTAGTGAGACGTAAACAGAGAAAACAATATACAAAATGATTTACGATAAATAAACCGAAAAACGTGGCAATTGCCCACAGACATCGATGGGAACCGCTATGTGAATATTGGTTAAGATAATCTATAGATTAGGTTAGGTATTAAACCTCGCATAACCTAACCTAACTCATAACGGGCGCCCTTGTCTATAGTACGATAACATTTTTTTTTATACGACAAAATGGCAATATCTATATCGCTCTTATGAAAACCGAATCCACCAGGGAAATACGATTTTTAGTACGTTTTATAATATGTGTAATTTCTATAGCGTTGAAGTCACTTGGTTATGTTTGGTGGACGGACTAGATCGTACTGTAATGTCTAATACGTAATACGTAATATATTATGGTGACCAATCTCATATTGCGCTTCGTACTTTATTCCGTCGAATTTTTCTTTACTCTTTACTGTGCACACATATTATATAATAAAAAAATGATATAATATGTATATATATTATGTAAACGACTTGCAGTCTTGTCACCGCCCCGTTTAAAATAATTATTATACTCGGAAACCGTCAACTGCACAAACCCTATTAAATTATTAGTCGTATTTTATCTCATCAAACCCGCCGCCGGCGAGTAATTAAGGTCAACCTCGATGGCATTATTCCCTCTGTCCTCGTTCTTTTTTTTCCCTTTTTCACTTTTATTTCCGGTCCGTTTGCGTTTCCTCGGGCACACCGGCAATATATACACGTATAACATGATATTATATATACATATTAAAATATATTGGACGAACCGGCGGCGGCGGCGACGACGACGACGGCGGCATGGCCTTAGGGTTTGCCCCGTCGGGCGCGCAATGTACACAGATCGAAATCGTTTTTAATTAACCGCAAAAATTTCCGTTCATTACGACGAGCCACGACTCCCACCCCGCCCCCTCCGACGATCTGCGGCGATAACTGGTGGCACATCCTGCCGCCGCCGCCACTGACTCGACAATCGCGGACGTTCGGAAACTACTTCACGTATCCCCTACCACCATACTCACCCCTAACAGACCCTCCCCGTCCACATCGCAAGCTACCACCGGAGTTTTTGGCTAAGCGGCATTTAATATACTAATGTACAACACTACTGTACGAAAGCTACACTGAACACTGACCCCTTAAGTTGTACATATTATGACTTGGGTGTGTTGTATTAATGTAGAGTCGAAAAAAAAACTAAAAGGCGTCGATATTGGTTGTGACGGTCACATTGCGCAGATTCCACGTGCGGGAAACACTGCCTACACAAGTATAGACAAGAGGACAAGACAAACGCCTCGAAGATTATCAAATGTATATCGGGTCGGCGTGACTATACCGGAGATACCAGAAAAAACGACGAAGTGAATTCGGACGGGGCGCGGTGGATCGAGTGGACTACGGGTGAGTCCACGGTTCGAGGGTCCAAAATATATTCGATCGATGTTGTTCGCAGTCGTCGGTCGAGTTGTAATTTTCGGGCAATATCTTACACATTATTATATAGATTGGCTTTAGCAGCTGTCTAACGTCTAATTAGAAATCCAACATATATTAAAACATCCGCGCAACATGTTATATATTTTTTTAAATAGTTTCCACAAGTAGGCACCCGTCCTAAACTTTTAATTATAGCTTTGCATTTAAATGTTGATCCATCATCTTTAGGATACCTCATATTATTTTACAGGGTCCATCATGTTGTATGTGACAGAAGTGACAGGGATCGTCGCTTAAGAACCAACATTATAGGTAATCCCCAAATTTTTTATCGTCAAAAAATATTTGAAAAACCCTAGTGATATTTCATTATTATTATTATATACCAACTTCATTGTAGGCAATTGCGTTTAATCACTGTGAATTTACAATGGTCGGATTAGAAAAAATATTTTTTTAATTTAAATCTTTCATACTTACATACAACAAAATAAAGTTTAAATAAAAATGCGAATGATCTTTTTCGGTGCGTTGATCATTGAAAACAAAAAAAATAACATAATATGTATTCAAATTACCTTGTAATATAATATAAGAGAAATAAAATACTGCTGATAAAAAACGTTACATAGGAAGTACCAGAGAACAATACTATAGGAGACAAGTATTATTCAAAATGAGCTCTGTCCAAATATTTAAGCCTAACCATAATGGAAATATGTTAAATAAAATCACGTCTGTAAGGATTAACGATAATCCAAACTTCCGAGGATTTGTAATGCGTGAAGCCTGGCTAGTTTAATGGTTTTAATTAAATCCATAAAGGCCTAATTAAATTTAGTTTATAGATCCTTTGCTCTGCAATTCATTATTACGAGTACATTATGATAATTATGATGATCATTGTACAATATTATTATAAATGCATATCGCTAAAAATGATCTTTACTCATATACGAGTGAAAGCAGAATATTATAAATAAAATAGGTATGCATTGACTGGCCGAAAAAAAGGTCAAATGTCGGCAAAATTATATAGGAACTTATATCGAAAAGAAATTATAAAATTTAAAACATGTGATTGTAATGATTATTTATTTCCTTTAAATGGACTAGAGAAAATAAAATGATGAAAAGTAAAATCTCATTTTCAAGCAAAAAATTAATTATTTGAGACATTTTTTATTTAAAAAAAAAAATAAATAAATAATTAAACTTATTCATGCATCATAATGAAAATACATTGAGAAATATTTTATATAATTATACATAAATTAATAATAATTAAAACCAATTTTAATTTATAGGGTCTATAAAAATATGTAATTTAAATTTGAAACAAAATGAATGTTAATTTCATTTTGCAGTGTCTATTTTAATCAACTATTTTTAACTTCAATCTTTCAATTTTATTTATTCAGTACATACGCTATGGCATTACAGAAATATTTTTTGTTTTCATTTTACAAGAGGCGTAACATTGCAAATTTACGTACAAGAATTCACATATAATTCTTTAGTTGTAATATTAGAATGACCAGTCATCAAACAAAATTATAAGGACTTTATCCGCATTATGTACTTATTGAAGAGGCTTTTTTAAAAAAGCTTTAATACATTTTAAAATGAGTCAAAAGTGCATTAAATACCAATTACAATAAAAAAAATCTCACAAATTGTTTATAAATTAAAAAAAATGACCATCCATAATAATATGGACCGTACTATCGAAAACTATAATGTTATGTATTGTAATTTATAGAATATATTATATGGTTCATATTTTTTGAAACTAACTTGTCAGATAAAATTTAAATGAATATACGATGATGTTATTGAGTTGCTATGACGTTTATTTAATTATAACTTTTTTTATCATTACATTTTATATTAATTAGTTTTTATTTAAAATATATAGGACAAGTAAATAGTGGTGTGTCAAAATGTGCTTAACAAAATAATAATATAATATAATATATATACAATTTGTGCATAAGTGGACAATATATGAACATTTTTTTCTAAGTTCGGAAAAATTAAATGAAAACTCAACACTAATACAAATTATAGAAATAAATACAAAAACATTTAAATTTATAAAATTGAAAACGTTAAAAGTGATTTGAATAATTTCTAGTCAGATAACATCATACGTACATACATCTTGTCATTAAATAAAATTTAAATAACAGTTGTAGACTTATGTATTATGATTGATTACAACAATATTTCGACATGGGCGATAAATCAAAAACAGTTTATACTTTAAATCTAAAACACGATTTTAACCTTCAATATTTTATTGTGTTAATTTATATTCAAACCGAATTCTCTTCGAAGATCGAATAGGTTTTAAGACGATAAAATAAATCCACTTCATAATTTTACACCACTATAGTATCTAAATAGTTGCATGATATTATTTCTAATATTATTTTTATTTCCTTAGAATTATTTTGGAATATTTTTCAGGGGCTTGAACTATATCAAAAACTTGTGCGGAATATCATAGAGGAAAGTTTATGACAATATAAGGGCATCACAAACGATTATTTGCATAATATGCACAAAAAATCATATTATATATCTCTGGTCAATGATATATTATCGAATGTTTATTATTTATAGTTACATTATTTCGAATATTTATACACATCTTTATTTATTTGTAAATATTATTATATACTTTTGCCAGTTACAACTTATACATATTTATGAATTCTCAGGGTATAATTCAAAAAGTTAAATCATTTCTGATAATTCTTAATGGAAACGTTCCAAGATGGTGTTATATTTTTTGTCCCCATTTTATTTATTTTCTTTTATTTTTTTAATCCAAAACGAGGCAGATGTTTTTGAACAAAAATATGATTGGTGAGTTCAGCGTCGGCGGTATTGCCTTTGCCGCCGCCGAGCCAAGGGAGCAAATCTCTTAATTTCCGAACACTCATAACTTTCACGGGTCCATGAAAATAATCTAAAATATGTTAGTAATTGAATTTAAAAAAATAAAACAAATACAAAATGTGCGCAGTGGCGGTGGCAATAGACAGTGAATCGAGAGACATTTTTTTTCATTCATTCAATATTCTTTTAGGAATTATGTAAAAAAGAATTCCGCCAAATGAAGCATTGATTTTTTACCGGAATGGGCGTGAGGCGGCGAGGGTATCCGACGTGTATTAATACTTGTACATCGTACATACACATGTATACACATCACATATTATATACAATATATTAGTATACATGTATAGTGTATTGCTTTAATATTACAATCACCTGAGGCCTGTAGCTTGCGGGGCGACCGTTTTTCACTTTCTACCTCCACGATCCCGCGTGCATCGCTAAACAATGGGAGATAATAATAACATGTTGTACAACAATGAACGATAAATCGCTACTGATGGTGGAGCTGCGGGAGAGTCAAATTAATTTACAATGAAACCGCGCGTGGTGCTGGGAGACTTGTGAGACCAAAAACTATCGTTAAAAATTAATTTATAGTATCATACACTTATAAGTCATAGTATTATGCTTGGGTACATAGTTGGTATGTGGTTGTGGTACCAATCCATTGGAGACACTAATCGTTTGTCTAGTAAGCGCCGCGAGTGTTCGTACTCGATCGTGGAATAATGGATTCGAGGCGATATTATATTGCAGTAAGTTTAAGTGCAAATATTTTATTCGTCGTATTAATAATAAATCCCTAATTCAGAATGCAGACAAACACGAGTTTTGTTAGTTTAAATATTATATATACTGTCTCGAGTTATATCCTGGTCATTAAAATTACACCGATCGTTATGTATAAGTTATGTATTAAACCTGGAAAATGTTCAGGTAAATTTATTCCCGACCCAATCATTAGATGAACACTTCGTTGAATATTTTAATCGGCTTATATTTTTAATTTCGTTTGTAATATAATTTGAGATTGCAAAACAAAAAAAATAAAGAATATATTTGTTTCCGAAGAAATCGCTATTAAAATGTTAATATTTTTATAATGAAAATCCTTTCTTACGAATAATTTGTATTCTTATTCCAAGTTAATTCGAATCGAATTCGAATATTCGAATATTAAGTCTGATCAAAAGCCATGTTTATTAGATTCGCAATGGTGCACTAGAAACTGAAATTATTATGAATATGCAATTCAAAGGGATATCAATCTATAATCACTTTACTTTCTTTATCATCAAAGTATATTTTTATTTTGTCAACATACAATTTATTTCAGGGAAAATTTACTGTCGATTTTCACTTAATGTGGAAACCTGAAGCATAACATTATTTTACATTCGCATCAGTAACGTTATTATAACATTTTATTTGGTTTTGAAAAATGCAAATATGCAAGTATAGAATATGTTCGAATTATATATTGTGTATATGCATATTAATACGTGACGAGTAACTTTTTGATAAATTCTTGGTTGGAACTTCTATAATGAAGCTCTTACGATTATATTATATTAAATATACTTCAATACTTGTTACGTTCCTTATTAAAAGTTATAGAATTATCGTGTATATATCTCATAGCAAGTGATAATATTCTATCCTGTCAAATTATCCGCTTCGCTTAAACCGTTAAATGAAAATTATGGGACATTTTGAGAATACGCCATAACTCCTGATCAAGTTTCAGATGCCTTGTTAGCTGAGCTCGTTACATATATTACAGCTTTTAACTCCTCCGATCGAGTTACACGGTATCTTGTTTTTTTTTTAGTCTATTAACAACGTCTCTAATATCTCAAATTTCTATACATGTCATACCATTGAAGTAATTTAAAACACATTGTTTTCTTTTTTTCGTACTCGTAGGTATATCACCAATTGTAATTTAAATTTATATCAAATCAAAAATCAATAATAATAATAATATAAATTATGGATTTTGGTAAAATTAAGCTCGGTGCATGGGAGTTAAATTTTCAACTGAATCATTAGTTCTATTTCTACATTTCTATATTTTGAATTGATATTATGTTCTAATAATTGTAGATATCTGATTTGTAAACTACTTAATACAAATTACCGTCGTGCCTCTTTATTATTATCTATAAACTAAATTTATGACCAAAATTATATATTTTTTAAAATTTTAACCATGGTATACTGGTGGTTTAAAATGATTGAATCGAACATTCTATAGTGTAAAGTATGCACTGTTACGTACTAGCATTTGAATAAACCATAATATAGAACATAGGTACACGTGTACAATTTAATAAAATACAGCTAGATTGGAATAAGTGAAATGGAATTAAAACGTTAACAATGTAATACGAATTTAAAATGTAATTCGTTAATTATGATTAAAATGGTTTGTTGAATACAATTAAAAGTTAAAACATATACCACGAATAAAAAGTTCATCATTGGAAACTTAAATAAAAATAATTTAAAAATAGATTGATACTCATATTTTAATGAACGCATAAGTCGTAAAAAATATAATGTTGAGAAGGTAATAGCCAATATTCTAATTAAGTACGTATAATAGTTATAAATATATATAAGTACTTCGTATTATTTTATAATAAATTACCTATGATTTTTCGATACCCTATAATTATTACCATCAACAAATAAGTTGAACAAGTATAATACCACTTTATAATATTAAAGGCATGATAGAATAAAGTCTAAAAATAAAAAAGTAATAGTTAGGTATCCAATAAACAAAATTATTAATGAAACCAAAGACGTTATAGAAAAAAAAGAAATGAAATCTAATAATAAATACAAAAAGTGTAAACAGTAATCGCATGATTTTCGTTAAACTTATTACTTAGAAGTAAAAATATTGCTATATTTTATACAGTTTTGCCGATGTGATTATCATAATATATAGTAACACGGTCATGTTTTTATGGGTTTTTTCAAAGAAATATATATTTCAATTTAAATGTGTCAGCTTGGTTTTTTTTTTTTAGAAAAAGTAAAGAGAAATTCAAATTTCAAAACATAATATTTTCAACATCCCAACAAACGATTGTTCACGAAATTAAAAATAACTTTGATAGAAGATTACAAAGCAAAAGCCACTTACCCAGTTCTTGCGAAGTTTCCCAAGTAGAGTATCATAGCGTCAGACAATAAAGCTTCTGCTTTTGTAAAATTTCTGGAAAAATGATTCATGCCATCAGTTACCATTGGAGCGCCGAACATATATGGAAGTTCTTCTCCGTGGGCAGTACCTATCCTCTGTAAAGAAAATAATTAAGTATCAATATAACATTGAAATAAATATTTTTCACCATGTTATATTGTAAGAATAATAATGAATAAGAATACATTTTTAAACTAAGGTTAGGTAGTTAAACTCGTAATATAAATGCAATAAATTAATGATTTATTAAATTTATTTGAAAAACAAATATTAAATTCAAATTAAGGAAGTACATTTAATAACATTTTTTTGGCAGTATGTTTTGCATAGTACTTATTTCATTGTATTTTTATTTGTACATAGAACTTGCATGCCTAGCATACTATTGTATTATTGTCATAGCATTTATTATAGCACCACACAATTTTAGTAATACTTTAAAACTTACCATAAACTTAGGTAAAATAACAAATACCAAATTAGATATTTAGAATTTTACTTTAAAAGATGTAGGTAGGTTATATCTATATGTAGTGATAATAATTTTCAAAGTATTAGTAAAGTAAACCATTAATGAATGGAACAAACATAGCTTGACATTGTGAACATATAAAATTATTATCATTTAAAACTAAAATGTTGTTAAAAAAAAAAATAAATGGATTTATTTACTACTATGATAAATATCCAAGAGTTTACTTAAATATATTCATAATTTAAAATTATATCGGTATTAATTTTAAAGAAAAATATTAGAATATAACTGGAAAACAAAATTCTCTGCATTTTGAAGTCATTTTAGCATGGTATTACACCTAAAATACACAACATTGCACTTAGACTTTCCCCATTGCAACACTCATTCTAGTTACTCTTACTTATACAAAAATACGTAAAAGAAACCAAAATAAGGATTTAAACCACAAAAACCAACAATAAATTAAACTTAGAATGATTCAAATATATTAAAATAAATACCGAGATGAAAAAATACACAGATGTAAAAGACGGAACACCAAATGCTCATAAATTAAGATTTCTTTTTATTTAGAATTTAGTTATATAGGAAACTCGAGGGAATTTTTCAGACTATCGGTGTGTTTTAATTTTAAAAAGCATCGTCTCTCAGCAAAATTAATTGTACTTAACATTTTGATGTAATATATTATATCATATTTGCTCTTTTACAATCTATGTGAAATGCTAGCACTCAACCAGAGATGACATCGATTCTTCTTCAATTCCTCAAAGAGACGGAAAAGCTACTTCACGTGGTTTTATATCACATGTAACTACAACAAACTAAATATTTATCATCCATGTTTAAAATAATTTGTATGCAACTTTAATATACTGTATCATTAATATATCGGGAAAATAGCATATGATGTAGAGCCGTAAAAAATATTTAAAAAAAATATTTTGCGACATTAAGTATATTTATTTTATACACGTATAAGCCATTAACTACAAATTACAATTGAAAAAATCTTTATGATTATGTAGAAAATATATTTTAAAATGGTTTCCACTTATTTTTTGGTTTTTGAAAATAATGAGTGCGAAACAAAAGTAAATGTTAACAGTTGTGTATGATAAGCTTAGTAAAGTTACTATTAAATTATTATTGCATTTGGTAAAAAAAAAATGGAAATATTATACGTTTGGAATACTAACTTTGAATGAATCTTAATATGTACAGCTAATATACTAATTGTAGCTCATGTAACGTTCTCTTAATTTTATCTAAATATGAATATTGAAAACCGTTATGGGAAAGCATTGAGATTTAGGTTACGGTCAGACTATATCCGAATTCGGACGGAATTGAGTTCGGCCGAAGACGGCCGTCTTCGGCCGAAAACAATAATACCCCGCAATGTAATTGTTGTGGTCAGATTACGTCCGAATTATTCGGACGAATACGTCCGACGTCGGATAAAATCAAAATATTTTGTTTTTTCCGGCCGAATCCGCCCGACGCGGAGTCCGTTTCAGCATGAAGCCATGAACTATTTTCGTCATATTGACGAAAATGGCCATATTTTACCACTTATAATTTATTTATATAAAATTGTTTTGGGCTATAAAATTATTTTTGTATATTTCTTCTTGCAAGTTATTTACAGTACCTTGTTCATTTTGTGCAATTACG